TCTCTCTTCTAATCAGTGATTATTCCTAGTTTAGGCATATGGTTACATGTATTTTATTGAATATATTCTCTGACAATAAGAACAAAATCTCGTTCACATATTATGCGTCGATGTCCCAGCCTTGACCATTAATGATTTGTTGGACGATAGTATGAATATGTGGTATGTAGCCTTGTATAATGGTGATAGGAATTCGTTGCCAGGCTTCTTTGAACAACTTTTCTAAATTCTGCTGTGACCTTGGATGACGAAATTGTACGTATCGATTCATCCAGCCCCAAACCGGTTCTATAGCATTAACTTCAGGGCTGACTGAATGACAATCATCTATACAAGAAATACCGTTAGCAGTCATCAAATTATGTATCACATTTGTATGGTCCCAGGTGGTGTGATCATGAATAAATGAATAACCATGCAAATTTCGAACATAATGACCAATGGCAAGTTGTACGTGTTGTAAATATGTGATAGAATTACTGGAACTTTGAGTAAACACCAAACGAGATCGATGGTTGTACCAAACTGCTCGAAATATGTTAATACTATACTTTACTTAACCTACAAATGTTCTTGGTCGAGGAGCACTAATAGGAATCCCGTAAAAAGTACCAGTTTCATCCACTTGAAAGTTCTTTTCGTCGGAAAAAATGATATTCTGCCAGTACTTTGATCTGTTTGCATAGAAACACTGAAATCGACGTGCAGCTTGCTGTTCGTTTATCTGCCAGTGAACTCTTGCGTGAACTGGATGGTAGTTTTCGTTAAGACCAGCTTCACGAATTGTTCGAGGACTAACTGTGACGCCATTACGTTGTTCCAATCGATCAGTAATTGATAATGATGTATCACTAGGATGTTGTGGCATAATTTGTCGAAAATGTCGTCGAACTGGACCATTCATTAGCCTGTTTCTTCCTTTACCTTCTCGTTCTAGCGTATCATGTGTCTTGAAATAATTGAATGATATTCCGTACAGTGTTAAATGAACAATTCAGCATTTCAGCGATCTGTCGCAAGGACAAATTGTCGTCTTGATGTAACGTGATAATTCTCCAACGCTCACCTATGGAAAGATGTTGGAGCATGCTTTATTGTAATTTGTATGATATGAATATCATACATATCATCCACTTTACCTCTCTCAAAACTCGTCAAATGATAGATGAACAACTCCGGAAGATGCCGTTCCTGTCACGTGATAATTAAACAGTAATATCACTGATTAGAAGAGAGAAAAATAAAAAAGATGAAAATTAGAAAAAGTGCCCTTACAAAGACACAAAACCACATAAAAGATATTCTCTTGTTTTTTAACAAATTGTTGCAGTTAAAGACCAATTATATGATGTATAGTTAGGCACTGTCATAGAGTATTTATGGTATAAATAGGAGATATAAATCCTATCTTTTAGATAACCAATTGTCAAAAACTAGGTGTACAGTTAATTTCCACCAGGGGGACATACAAATCGGCCGGAGTACTTGTAAAATAGCCGCGGAAACTTTATCACAAAATGCCAAAAAATCAGATTTTTCGGTCCATAGAAACTGAAGATCATTTAGAAATTGACAGAATAGATTGATGCATTAACATAAATTCTATCTAATATTAATCAGCATATGATCTTCTATTGTGATTCATAAAAAATTCTTTCAAAGTTTGAAAAAACGTTTTTTTCATAAAATCTTGGTACTACCCTCCAGCATTCTATATAGACAGTTTTTTTCGAAAATTTTCTTGTGACTCTCGAAGGATTTTTTTATACATATCAATAGAGGATCATATGCTGATTAATAACAGATAGAATTTATCTGAGTGCATCAATCTATTCTGTCAATTTCTAAATGATCTTCAGTTTATATGAACTGAAAAGTTTCATTCTTGGTATTTTATAATAAAGTTTCTGCAGCTATTTTACAAGTACTCCGGCCGATTTGTTTATAACTTTGTAGTACTCAGTGTTTGCTTTAATATAGGATAAGCGCGATTTCTATGAGATACATTCCCTGAGGAACCCAACTATGCCAAAATCGTGATTTTTGCTGCAAGCAATGATTTGTGATATAACTTCTAAGAGATAGGAATTAGTTGGAGACTTGAATATTTCATCGGAATAAGTATTTAATAAAGTCTCTTGACAGATAAAATTTTAGCTCTCTAACACAATCACTTCATGAGGACACGATGTAGGGACAGACTACAATAATTAGCTCGAAGCTCAAAGAGATGAATCGATTTCGAAGACGTTTCTGTTCGTCCCAAGTTTTTTCTGTGTCACATTGTAGACCATTGTTTACTCTTTCAGATTCGAGAACTCCGGTAAAATTCCAGATATGGCCAGTCTAGAAAATCGAAAGCAAATGTCGAGTTTTTGATGAAAAATCCGATTTTGTCCAGAGTACCCAGATCGAATGCTTCTCTGAAAGAAGCTGACATCTTGCCTGTACAGAGATACAACCGAGATGTGTGTATAATGAAAATTTCGGACTCGTCTCTATTTTCAGTTCGGAGATAGTAACCGTTAAATTTGTTAAAAAAATTGATTTGGCCGGGTTTTGTGACATCCATAGAATACCAAGAAATAGTCCGATAGTGTTGTCAATTTTTGAATGCGCAGAACTAAATGATGTATGAAACTGCAGAAAATTTCAGCTTAATTGACTGAACTGTTCTTGAGATATAGGATGCTGAAAATCGACTTTAGTAAAAGTAGAATTTTCTAGGGTTCTTCGTGGAACTCGAATAAAAAGCCAACGGTTCCATATTTTTTGAATCGGTTTTCACCAAAATACATCAAACACTTGCCTGTGTCACATATATGAAAAGGAGCGGAATCCGACGACATGAATTGCGCACTTTCAGTCGTGGCTTACATGGACTGGTTCATGTGTAGATGATGAACTGTTGCTGCATTGTGTTTTCATATTGTTTGTTTAAAAATGGGATCATTACCATTTATCATAATACGGCGGGCTTAACAGAGAAATTCATTAAATTCTACTACTAGTCGATTACAACTTTTTTGAAAAATGTTCGAATTCACTTGAT